CACACACACACACACACACACACACACACACACACACACTTGCAGTATCAATGCCTGCATCGATGGAGCTAATTATTGCCTGTACCATACTAAAGGTTTAAATAAATGCAGCTATAAAGGATTTCCCCAACTTCCTTTTTTTGTGATTTGCACCAAATATTTTATTAGTACTAGATAAAATTTTGATTTTTGGTTCTTTTTGTAAATATTTCTTCAATGAGTGGTAGCTGTAGAACTTTAGTGACTATTCAGTTTGCACCAAACTTTCTTCCATTCTAATTACAGCAGCACAGCAGGATGCAGGAAAATGTACCTACAGAGGTCAGTGCAGTTCCTCCTCCAAGTCATGTAACAGTAAGAAATCCTGCCGCTAATCCCCGACGAATGCGACGGCTTATTGCTGAAGATCCTGAATGGAATCTAGCCATAGTTCCACAGCTCACAGAGCTCTGCATCCAGCACATAATCAACAATTTTGAAAGTAAGTCACACAGCTTTCCTATATAAACTTGCTTGCTGAAGAAATATCATTTAATACAGTTTGGAAATATCTGTTATTGAGGGTCACCTGAGGAAAAAGGAAATTAAATGGGATGACTTTTAAAAATCTGTTAAAACAGTTGTACCACAGACTAGATTTCCGCTAACATTGCTGGTCAAGTCATTTAATTCATAATTTTGCCTAATTTGAATAATTGCCATCTCTGCTGTAGCACAGTATATGAACTCTAAAGGTAGTCAGAAACTGATTTAAATTATTCCCTCTGCCCGAGAATGGCAGTTTTGTGAAGACAACTAAATATTCTTAATAATGTTCTCATCATACTCACCAAACTGGGAAGATTTTTTTTTATGGAAGACATATTAAAACAGCATATATACCTACTCTAAGTGATGTATAGATAAATTGGTGAATAGCTCTCTATAATCCCTTGTAATCCCAATTTCTTTCCAACCAGAGAATCCTATCTTGGAAAGGCTACTTCATGATCACCAAAAGAAAGTGCTAGAAAAGATTTCCACAAGCCTACCCCTTACTGTGACTGCAAATTTGATCAGTGATGAAGGCTACTGGAAACGGTGCTGTACTGGAAGATGGACGGTTTGTGATGTATCTGCCTATGGAAACAGTTGGAAGCGGATGTTTTTTGAACGTCATTTGGAAAACATTTTGAAGTTTTACATTCCAGATACTACGAGTCCCAACGAAGTTCTGGATCTCATTCCACTCTGCAAGGAATACGTGAAAAAACTAGAGATTGACCAGTTCCTTCCACCAGTGAAGCTGGATCAAAAGAAGGAAGACGAAGATGTCTCTGATACTGAAAGTGATGCTGGACTAGATGAACCTTCTATGGACCATTTTGATTTGAGCCTGCTTGTTCCTACACTCCCTCATCTTGAGGAGCTTCATCTGTCATATGGTGTTAAAGACTGCGGCATGAATTTTGAATGGAATCTTTTTGAATTCACTTATCGAGATTGTTGCTCACTGGCCAGTGCTATTAAGAAATGCCCAACTCTAAAAGTAATTTTTTAAATACAGTATTATAGTCTTCTGTAATCTTAAACATCAAATGAGAATTCCTCAAAATCGTAAACTAGCCCGAATCATGGTCTGACACAGTTCTTCCATGGTATAAAGGAATTTAGTGCTGAAGTTGGGAAACTTATGAAAGAACCATTAAAAGGGGGAAGGAAGAAACAGGCCATTAAAGAGGCAGTTGGAGGAGCAATTATACAGCAAGCATGAGAGAAAAACTCAGAATAATCTCACTTCATTCTGTTTAGTATGGGAGGGAGGGGAGCAGAGAAAAAGTTAGATTTTCAAAAGTCTGCTGTTATGCACCTTTCTCAGGCTTTCTCAATAGGGCTTCCATAGTTCTGTAAGAGGTTGCTGGGGTTCCACAAGAAATTATGATTTTTTTTAAAAAAAAAAATTTTTTTTGAACTTCACGTGCTGTGCAAGCATTCATACAGGTGGGAATTTTTATACATTGTGATTTAGGTGCCAGCCTGTCCTTTTGCAGTTTTAAATGTTGTAAAATGTGGATTGTATAGATTAGAAGTAATTTGTTTGTGAAGTTCTTATATTTTTTTTTTGTGTGTGTGTGTGTGTGTGATTTTTATGCATTGGCTTCCCAAGATGGACAATTATTTTGAGGGTTCCTCCAGGGTAAAAATGTTAAGAAAGTCTGCCCTGCAACAGTATAGTAGTATTCTTAGACTATCTGCAGTGTCTATTTCTTGAGCATTTTACCTCAAAGGGTTGACATTGATCTTGAAAGCTTCTCCTAAATTTATCTTCAGTCCTTCTTACATTAAGCAAATTCAAGACAAGTTTATTTTGAGTTTATTTTTTGTTTGTTTTAATCTCTGGATATCCAAGTCTCTCCCTAATAGCTCCTTCCTTCCTTCACCTGTTAACAGATCTTTTATATCTTTCTCAAGGTCAGCTTTAAATTTCTTTACACGTGTCCCAATCTGTTAAGGATTATGAGAGAAGGATCTGGACCTTTTGATTCTGCTATGATGAATTCATGGCATTTACATCATACAGTTGCCAATGGTATTTACTTCCAAATAAAAGTAAGATAAGATAAAAACCTAGGACGGTGCGATGGCTCAGTGGTTAAGATGCTGGGCTTATCGGCTGGAAAGCTTGTCGGCTGGTTTGAGACCTGAGCATCGTGCGATGGGGTGTGTTCCAGACCTAGCCCCAGCTCCTGCCAACCTAGCAATTCAAAAGCATGCAAATGCAAGTACATAAATAAGTACCACTTCGGTGGGAAGGTAACAGCGCTCTGTGATGTCATGCTAGTCACATGACCACAGAAACATCTTCAGACAGTGCTGACTCGATGGTCCTTGAAACAGAGATGAGCACCGCCCCCTATAGTTGGTAACAACTAGCGGAATAATATCTGCACAGACTCCTTTTACCTTTAAGATGAAAACTTAGGATTCCTAAAATTGCCTCAGGGTTGCTCAGGGCTGGTACAGGGCAACTTCTACTGTTTACTTTACTTGTGTTATCATAAATATTCCCAAATAAAATCTAGATTAAATTGCAGAAAAGAAAGTTTAAAACTTTTCTTCCATTAGAATGCCACCTCAACCCAATTTATGGACCAATACAACTTTTGAATAAAAAATTAAAACCACAAGAAAATGATAAATTCAAACACTGATCTTAAAGGCTTCTTCTAAGGCTTGGCTCTAAGTATGTGTGGTCTGTAGAAACCTTTTTAGTTACTTTTCCTCAAAAAACCTATTTATATTATAGACATCTACATTAGAAGAGAAAGAAAATAAGAGGTGTGGATAGGCAAAGGCAAAATTGATATTCTTGCAAAACTAAAATGGAATGGGTTGCAAAATTTTCCAGTTCTACATCCCCAAACTATCATAAGCAGTTATAGACACTATGCTTTGATTTATAACACCCCAAAAGAATTGTATTTTATCTAATCATTATTTTGCTCTGATGGGTCACTATCATTTTAATCACAGCTTTGTTTAGAGGTAAGAGGGAAAAAATCCTTCAATAGAAATTATCTGAAGAAGTACAGGCAAAGGAAATTACATAACTGCCTACATGCCAGAAGCATTCAAGTAATATTATGTGGATGCCAATTGTTTGAGTATCTAAGGCACAATCACACTTACTGTTTTATTGGTTATTTAAATGCCAATATAAACCCTGCTGTTCTGATGCTGCTGCACAACTGATAATGTTATTTCCCTCCTCCCGTAAAACGTAGCTAAGGGAATGAAATAGAAACAAATAATTTTCTAGGGCAGGATAGACTCCATCAGACTCAAAACTCTGTATGATTCAAATCCTCATTTTGAGGCCCAGAGACCATCCCTTGAACCATAATTCTTTAACATTTATTCCACGGTTTCTCACCAGTTTTGCCACTTCATAAATAAGCATATCATGGGGGGGGGGGGGAATCCATTCTCTTCTCCTCCCAATTCACCCCTGTTCACCCCTGTACTTGGCCTGGTCCTCAACTGTTCCAAAAATCTTAACGTTTTGCCCTTAGCCACCAAGCACCCTGCCCACCTTGTTTTAGGCACCTAGAGTGAAAAAAGTGTCTTATTGGAAATATGTTAACATCTTTATAAATGCATGTGACCTTATTGTGTTTGTGCAGGTGTTCAAGCTGACCCGGAGCAAAGTGGATGATGACAAATCCAGGATACTGATCCAACACCTATTAGACCACCCTTCACTGGTAGAATTAAACTTATCCCACAATTTGATTGCAGACAGAGGAGCACGAGCTATTGGCAAGCTAATTAACCGCAGTAAGATGGTAACCCTTAACATCTGTGATAACAGGATTCGGGCACAAGGAGCCCAAGCTATAGCTCATGCACTGTCCAAGAATTCTATTTTGATGTCACTCAATTTCCGCCTCAACTGCATTGAGGATGAAGGAGGCCAAGCCATTTGCCATGCTCTGCTGCTTAACAGCACACTGACCACTCTTCACTTGGGTGGCAATGAATTGTCAGAACCAACAGCCACCCTTTTCTCTCAAGTCTTGGCTCAGAACACTACTTTGTCTCATATCAACCTCTCCTGCAACCACATTGGACTAGTAGGTAACCTTTCTGAAATGGGAGTATATGTTTCTTACACAGTGCTTAGATTTTTGGAAGTATTGTCTTACAATCTTGTCAGGAAATTAGATATGAAGGATAAAGCTGGGACATTGGTTGGGAAGAAAATTGGTCTGGTCTACACATTCAGGAGAATTCCTAGACATAAAAGGCATCACAGAGACAAGTTCTTAGCAGAAAGCAGTTGACTTTTCTTCTTGTAGAAAGCAAGGCCAACTGATAAAATTTTACCTTCTCAATTTTTGGCTATTTTTTTAAAAAAAATTGCAGTTGAAAACCCTGACAAATAAGAATACTGATGAAGTTTATGCTGATAAAGAAGAAAGAAACATACTTTTTTTTTTTTTGCTGGAGTCCCTTGAATATTTCTTGGCAAGAATCTCTAAAACATCCCTTTCTACATTAGGCAGTTATTTGCTAAGGTGCCTCAAGCCCAAAGTACTGTAGGTAGAAAAGCAGAAAATGCCTCTGTGCTGGAAGCCACTTCCTATAACACTTGTGTAGGAAGCAGAGCAGATAACTGGTCAACCAGCAATGTAAGGAGAAGCTGGGTGAACCAGCATTAATGCTCTCATTTAAGAACTGGGTAAACTGTAACACAACGAGGAGGAGTCTTTTTGATCTAGAGTTGGCTTTTGTTTTTAGAAAGTTCAATTTGCAATTGTATCTGCAGATTGAAATATTATAATACAATATATTCTTTCACTTCAGATGTAGTCAAATATCTCATTTTTTATCATTCTGTGGCAGATTAAATGCTGAACTAGAGAGCAAGTTTGGTGTAATAGTGAAGGCATTAGGCTGAAAACCAGGTGACCTGATTCTACTCCCAACCTGGGCACAATGCCAATGGGGTGACTTTGGGCTGGTCACTTTCTCTCGGTCCTAGAAAGGAGGACCACTTCTGAAAAACCTTGCCAAGAAAACTGCGGGGACTTTTCCAAGGAATCTGTGAGAACCAGAAATGATAAGAAAAAAGTGTTGACCTGGGTAGTTTCAGGCTTATCAGCTAAACTTATAGTACTGCAGAAGTTACCTTTGTTGCAGGAATCAAATTAGTGAACAAATCAGTCTGGTTTACTTCTGTAAATACATAGCTTGCAATTCAGCATTAGACACCATTTTACTTAGATTAAAAGATGTAACTTCCTTATTTCCATAATGTTTTCATTGTAACGTTAAGTTACGGGCATTTGCCAAGCTTGGCTTTTCAATAGAAGCATTTTGTTGCTTGCCTTGGATTTCAGACATTGCTTGAGTCTCAGTAAATGTCTCTTCCCTATTTTGGCAGGCAAACCAGTATTTAGACTATCAGCATCAAAGTAGCTTATATACCAAATACGTAATGCTCACATTCATTATAACATTAATATAATTTCAGAATACAACTAAAATATCAATAAGAAACCTTCTTTATGGTTATGCAGTTAAATAAGTTTTCAAGAAATGACAATACATCTTTTGATAGCTGAAAAGATTTAATGTAAAAATACAAATATAAATACAAAAGAGAGGTATTCTCAATTTCCAGATGACTATTATATGTAATCATTAATCTAACTTTGTGATTAATTTCTTTATTTTAAAAAGTATAGAATTCAGAACAGGGAACTAATGAAGACACGTTAGCTCATGTCAAAGGATCACCAGCTTGATTTCATTCCTCAGTTTCAATATTATTCCTGACTACTTTGTCACTGCCTTTAAAATCTATCTAGTAGCACATGTGTCATGGTGTCATTTGATAATTCTCATTATGCCAATATTGTTCTTAATAGACCTGCATAGGTGCATCAGCATTAAAGGAGTTAATGGATTTTCTTACTCTTCTTGCATGTCAACGCTTTGAAGAATTGCCTACCACATCCACCTAGTATTTTCTAAGTAAATCCTTTATTATCTCCTGACAACATAATGAAGCAATAGGAATATTTCACTGTCATTGCATCTTCACAACTGAGAGCATAATCCATAATCCATTATGTGAGCAGTTATCTTTAAATTGCAGAAGGTTAGCAAAAGTGCAGCATCATGGACAGATTTGGGATCACAGTAACTCAGAATAAAAAACAACCAAACTATCCTTTACTCTGTTCTTCTTGAGCTTAAAAACTACTGCTATTCATTGCAGCTGAGTCTGCCCTGAGAAATATTCTAGGCTGCTCTGATTCTCCACACAACAAAGTTGAAAGCCCAATCATCCCAGAGGAAGGGCATAATTTCAGTCTAGGTTTTGGGAAAGAATTTAAGTGCCCTGAAAGTTCAGAGAAACACTGGAAATGAGCTAGAATGAAGCCAGCCCATTTTTTTTCAGCATGACATACCAGGAAAAGTGTTCAGTTATAAAAACACCTTAGAGGCATTTGGTGAAAATGAGTTATGGATTGGGGGAAAATATGTGCACATTTTGCAATATCTCGAAAGGAATTTCAAGAAAAATGTTCTTCAGGCTACTTTTGTACATTTTAAAGTAATATTTAGGTTGTGAAAGCCTATTTGGTCTTCATCTTAAGTCTCTTTATTGATTTCAGGATGGAGGGAAGCAATTGTTGGAAGGCATGTCTGATAACAAGACAGTAGTGGAATTTGACCTCAGACTGGCAGAGGTGGGACAAGAGAGTGAATATCTTATTAATCAGACTATAAAGGCCAATCAGGAATTAGCTCGTCTCAGAAACCTGCACCATTCCACCACATAACATGGACCACAAACTACTGAGGAAAAACAGCCTGCGTAGTATAGTTTTAACGTTGCCTCTTCACTTAACATTTGTTTAAGCATCTGTTTTTAGGTAATCGTTGTAGTCAAAGCTATTTGTTCTCAGCTTATGATTGAATGGATGTAACTCCATATTCTTCTACTAGTTTGGTGAAATTTTTGCACCTCTCTTGGATTCATGCTCTTGGATAATTAAATCTGTAACTATGCCAAGCATGTAACTGAAATAACCATATGCTGCATCCCTGTTTAGATTTGCTTCTTTGTTTTTTTATTCCTCTGTTATTTTTCTTTGGTCAATTTTAAATGGTAAATTATTCATAATGTATAAAGCACAGAGGGAATATTATTTCTAATTTAACCATTCATTTTAAATAGTTTAGCTTGCCTTTCTGGAAACCGAACTTTATACACTAAATATGTAACAACTATTATTGTTAAACAATAAGAAAGAATTCCAGGTCTAATACTTCTTATCAATTATTGGATTTTATTTAAAAAACAGATTTGATAGAACTTAACTGTTTTCCTGTTCTTCATTTACTTCCTATCTCGCTTTTACTCCATTATTTCTCTTCTATCCTTTTTATTCAAAATATTTTCTACTAAATTAGAACATGATAAAGTAAGCAGTAAGGTAGATTTTAAAAAATAAGTTAAAAGATTCAGCTTTTCCTAGGCTTTATTTTAAACCACATCACCTTCTAAGGAATTGATAGCACAAGGCTCAGTCCAGGTGCTATTCTACTATTTTCAGTCTCCTTTCAGTCTTAATAAATATCAGCATTAATGCAAGGAAAGTTTCAATTTGAGCCACAATGAACGATGCTTAATGTGAGAATTAGAAATTGCAAGATCAGAAGCTAAGGGCCTAAATCTAAATTGGTCTGTTATAAATACAGTACATGGCCCTCAGCCAACTATTCTGACACATAAGTAGGAAGAAGCGGCATAAGATTTGAATCTTGACTGTACTAGATGTGACATTATTGGTGTGAGTCATGGAGTTGGTTTACTTGATAGTAATATTTATTAGTATCTATAATAAAACTATCTTATCAAAAACTATGTACTTGAATATCTGCCTCTGAACTTTCTAGTTCTGTATCAGTCTATGTACAGCCTAAAATTTAATCCTACAAGTGACCTTGAATTACAGAATTACATAATATACAAACATGTATCAGCTTTAGCTAGTGACAACAAATTTCTATTTTTACTCAATTAAACTTGGGCAGAGACATGTCTTCTTCTTCTTCTTCTTCTTCTTCTTCTTCTTCTTCTTCTTCTTCTTCTTCTTCTTCTTCTTCTTCTTCTTCTTCTTCTTCTTCTTCTTCTTCTTCTTCTTCTTCTTCTTCTTCTTCTTCTTCTTCTTCTTCTTCTTCTTCTTCTTCTTCTTCTTCTTCTTCTTCTTCTTCTTCTTCTTCTTCTTCTTCTTCTGCCATATCCGTTATCAGACGTTGGCGATCATGTTGGCGATCCTGTTTTTATCAGCAGCCACACGAAAAAGTGCTGCTGAGTTTTGTCCAAACCAGTCCCTTAGATTTTGAAGCCATGATGTTCTTCTTCTGCCTGGACCTCGTTTGCCTTCAATCTTTCCGTGGAGGATTAAATGGAGTATGCCATATTTTTCTGGGTGTCACATCACATGTCCGAAATATTTTAATTTTCATTTTTTAATTGTTTTAATGATTTCCCTTGGCTTTCCCAGGCGGCTTATCACCTCCTCATTTCTGATCTTGTCAACCCAGCTTATACGTAACAGCCTCCTGTAAATCCACATTTCAAATGCTTCTAGTCTCTTCAGGTGACCTTCTGTCAGAGACCAACTCTCTACTCCAGTGGTGGCAAACCTATGGCACAGGTGCCAGAGGCAGCACTCAGAGCTCTCTCTGTGGGCACGGGCACCGTTGCCCCAGTCCTAGGCCTTCAGCTGGGTTTTATAAAACCTTTTCGTTTTAGGCCTCCGCCGCCGTGTACAAAAAAAAGGTTCAATCATTCAGTCAATTTCAACTTCTCACGGGAAAAAAAAGATCTTGCAACGTTGGAATTGATTGATTGAACTTTTTAGTCCCACCCAGTCTGCCGTTACCACCGCAGCTATGCCCACCCAATGGGCCACACACCCCAAATTGGCCACACCCAGCCAATGGGCCACACCCAGCCAATGCGCCACACCCACCCGGCACCCGACGATGCATAAGTGGGTTTTGGGTTGCAGTTTGGACACTCGGGCTCTAAAAGGTTCGCCATCACTGCTCTACTCCATAGAGCAGGATAGAAAAAATATAGCATCATTGTACACATGATGATATACTTCTTAATCACTGCCTGAAAACATTTTAGCACATATCTGTAGCCAGTACAACCTTTTAGCGGTTTAAATAAGAATTGGAGCAGCAAATAGTCAATTTCAGCTATTGAGATACAATAAAGTACCAGATCAGAAAAAGAAGGGACTACTCCAGAAACTGACAAAAGGGAGATAATCAGACAAAAGAGCAAGGCCAGTAGATTACAATGGCTGCCAGAAGTATGAGAAGTAGAAGATATTCTACATTACTGGAGCACAAAAACAGTTTTCAGATCCTCACAGAAGAAACCAATCTTGAGCCTTCAGTAAAAGAAAAAAGAGACACTGAAACAGGAGACAGGCTGAAGAGCAGAGGGAATACAGCTACAAGGAGATAACTGTGGGAGTTACTGATACATTACCAAGTGGAACTGAAATACACCGCAATTGGATCTATCAGCTTACAGAAGATGCTGTATGCCAAGCATAAACACTATGGATGTGATAAAATTTCCTAAGGCTTATGAAATTGATGAATAATTATCTTGTTAATCCAATGGAGAGAAATGTCACATAAAGAATAGCTACAACTGTATTCTGATGCAATTTGACATCTTGGAAGTTCAAGATCCTGAGGCTCAGGCAATATTTTAGTCCACCCTTGCAGTTCAGGGAAGCAGAGCAGAAAGCAAAGAAGAGTATTTCAGGTGAATAACTAGCTGCAGAAATAATGTTGAAGAGAAAAATTGGTGTCGGGGATTATCATGTTTAAATAATGGACTGCTAGCATTAAATAGGTCATACTTCAAAAGAACCAGTAAAAATATGTTTGGCTGAAGTGTGACAAAAATTATTAGGAGAGCTTTAGACTGATTTTTTTTGGAGTTCCTAAATGAAAATCCTAAAGGTGATACAGATACAAATGTATACTGGAAGATTATGTTACTGTACTGCAGTCCATGAAAGAAAGCAATCAAAAATTACAACACTGACTTATACAGTTGTGGCCTTTGTTTCTCAAAACGCAAAATTAACAAGGTGCATTTAATATTCCAAGTAGAGAAAGGGGGAATAGTGAATCATCTTCATCTATGGGGTCAAATATTGAAAACGTGCTATTGTAACAGAAGCTCTGAATCTTTTGTACGTATTGTGAAGTCACATGAATGAAAAGGACTTTCATTATTGCAATATGATACTGCTTTGGTCATTTTGACAAAATATCAGATCCTACAGACACCTTTGGATTTAAAAGGAACAACACACTGCTGTAATGACTCCCATGATTAAAATATAACAACTAAAGCAGATAGTGTAGTGTTTTCGGTTCGCTAGCAATTGAGGCAGACGCATGGTGAAAACAACAAACTCTTTATTACACACTCCTACAACCAAGCAAGCAGCAAAAGGCACGCAGGCCTTTTATAGTGCCTGAAACCCGGACAGTGTGAACCAATGGGAATTTACCCTTTTCGCGCCTTGCGCATGCGCACAAGGCTGGCGCCACTCTGTCTGGTCCCGGGCAGCTTTTGGGATTGCCCAGGACCATTTGCAACAATTCTGAGCCTGCTATCAGCTGTTGCAGGCTCAGGACACAACAGATAGTTTGTTCAAAAGATAGAACATAGAATCATAGGGCTGGAAAGGACCTTAGAGGGCTTCTAGTCCAACCCCCCTTATCCAAGGCAGGATTCCTTATATCATCCTGGGCACATGGAATGTCCAATACTTTCTTGATAACTTTCAGCAATGAGCACCTATAGCTGCTTGAAGTAAGCTGTTCCATTGGTTAATTGCTCTCACTGTCAGGAAATTTCTCCTTAGTTCCAGGTAAGTAAAGCATATTTATTCAGAAATCTGAGTAAATAACTTTGGAAATATTGTAAAGTACATCTAGGTTAAAATGTGAAGGAATTAATAAAAGCAATAATATCATTGGTGTCCACTATCAGCCATTCAATGAGAGGGTGTGGATGCTGCCTTTCAAAGGAAACTCTGGATCCTTCAAAGAACCATGAATTTGGGAAAACTTTAATTACTGAAACATCATGGAATGACTAACAGACTTGGAAACAGAGAGGAAAGAACGAATCATTGGAGGAGAGAGTTAGGGGCGGGGATTGAGGGAGAGAATATAAATACCGTTCCTTACACCAACTAGGTAAAAGTGAATTTAGAGAATTGCTTTGATTGGCTTTCAAGTATCTGTTATATTTGGTCCGCTAGCAATAAAATTCATTCTAGCAATCCAAGTGATTCTTGGTTTTTGGATTTCCCAGCCTTGAAGAACTTGATTCAGTCTGGAAAGCTTTCATACTCGCTCATCAGAGAGGCATCAGATCAGACATTCTGGATCTAAACCATGGCTACAAATCTTGAGGTACCTCACTGCCAGCAGCAGTGGCGTAGCGTGGGTTGTCAGCACCCGGGGCAAGGCAAGTAATTTGCGCCTCCCCCTCCACAGTGGGCGGCGACCCGGCGGCTCGGATCGGATTCGCACAGCCACACCCCCCCTCCACAGTGGGCGGCGACCCGGCGGCTCGGATCGGATTCGCACAGCCACCCCCCCCCCTCCACAGTGGGCGGCGACCCGGCGGCTCGGATCGGATTCGCACAGCCAGCACTGCAGAGAGAGTGAGTGAGCCAGGCAGGGGCAGAGAGCTGCGAGTGCGAGCGCGCCCCCCCAGATGTTGCGCCCGGTGCGGCCGGCCCCCCCTGCACCCCCCACGCTACACCACTGGCCAGCAGAGCAAGTTGTGGAAGCATCATTACATACAGAGATCATCTGCTTGTGCTCTGTTATGATGCAGAGACCACAGCATTTGGATCAACATTTACCTCAGCCTGGAGCAATCCCACAGGTTGCTTTCCTGCTGGTGATATTTCATTGCCCTGGCTGTCTGCCAGGGAAGTTCAGGGGGTTCAAGGATACATTCCTAAGCTTCAGTATTCAGTAATGAATACATTTTTTTTCACAGCAGATCAACAGAGTTTTTTTTACAGATCAGGCCAAAGTGGGATACATTCTTAGCCTTTTGAAAGAGAGGCCAGATAGGATGATGGGACAATGCCATCCTAGAAAACTATTAAGATTTTAAATAATTTAGAGCCTTGGTGATTACCCAGAACTTCTAACTGGGAGATTTATAAGTTGTGTGCTAGGGATGTGTGTGCTCTGGAATGATTTTGCCTTGATCAACCAGTTTTGGGAAGGTCTTTCTGGTTACTATGATCAGTTAACATGACAAGACACATCAAGAAGCTTAGAAGAATTATTTCAATGTTGTGATTGATGGTGATTGATGGCAAGCTAGAAGAACAGAGGCATGGAAGACAGAGAGACTTCACAGCCTTTCTTTTTTGGGGAAGAAGAAGCTAGCTACTGTTCGCCTCTCATTAGGTATGTAACTGCACTATCAACTTGCTTTTTGCAGGGCAGATCACGGTTAGATGACAAAATCCCTTGTCCACTTAAGAGTTAACAGCTTTAAAGAAGTTTCTGAACAGTCTGAAGAAAGGACTCATTCCCCCATCATCTCCTGCATCTGTATTGCTATTTTTATAGAAAAGAAAAATAAGTCTTGAGACTAGTCCACGATGATAGATTTCTCAATTTGTGACCATTAGAAATCACTACTCACTGCTTCTTCTTCCACATCTGAACCATCGTCAGAAGGCATGTATTTTCAGTCAATTTGACTTGAGAGGAACTTACCATTTGATTTGGATAAAGAATGATCACAAACACTTAA